GTCAATTTTTTTTTATTGGAGTTAAAATTAACGTAGATATATGACCGAACCTAACCAACCCTACCTAACCTAACCTAACCTATCTTTATAGGTTAGGTTAGGTTAGGTAGCCGAAAAAGTTAGGTTAGGTTAGGTTAGGTAGGTTAGGTAGTCGAAAAACAATTAATTCATGAAAACTTGGCTTATTAGGCAAATCGGGCCTTGCATAGCAGGCCGAGTACGACGTTCTGGCTACTAGGTACGACATATATATATATATATATATATATATATATATATATATATATATATATATATATATATATATATATATATATATATATATATATATATATATATATATATATATATATATATATATATATATATATATATATATATATATATATATATATATATATATATATATATATATATATATATATATATATATATATATATATATATATATATATATATATATATATATATATATATATATATATATATATATATATATATATATATATATATATATATATATATATATATATATATATATATATATATATATATATATATATATGTCGTACCTAGTAGCCAGAACGTCGTACTCGGCCTGCTATGCAAGGCCCGATTTGCCTAATAAGCCAAGTTTTCATGAATTAATTGTTTTTCGACTACCTAACCTACCTAACCTAACCTAACCTAACTTTTTCGGCTACCTAACCTAACCTAACCTATAAAGATAGGTTAGGTTAGGTTAGGTAGGGTTGGTTAGGTTCGGTCATATATCTACGTTAATTTTAACTCCAATAAAAAAAAAATTGACCTCATACATAACGAAACGGGTAGCTTTATCATTTCATAAGAAAAAAAATAGAGAAAATATATTAATTCATGAAAACTTGGCTTATTAGGCAAATCAGGCCTTGCATAGTAGGCTGAGAAGTGCGTTCTGGCTACTAGGTACGACATATATATATATATATATATATATATATATATATATATATATATATATATATATATATATATATATATATACATATATATATATATATATATATATATATATATATATATATATATATATGTCGTACCTAGTAGCCAGAACTCACTTCTCAGCCTACTATTCAAGGCCGATTTGCCTAATAAGCCAAGTTTTCCTGAATTAATATATTTACTATAATTTTTTTCTTATGAAATGATAAAGCAACCTTTTTCTCTATGTATGAGGTCAATTTTTTTTTATTGGAGTTAAAATTAACGTAGATATATGACCGAACCTAACCAACCCTACCTAACCTAACCTAACCTATATTTATAGGTAAGGTTAGGTTAGGTAGCCAAAAAAAGCTAGGTTAGGTTAGGTTAGGTAGGTTAGGTAGACGAAAAAACATTAATTCATGAAAACTTGGCTTATTAGGCAAATCGGGCCTTGAATAGTAGGCTGAGAAGTGCGTTCTGGCTATTAGGTACGACATATATATATATATATATATATAATATATTAATGTCAGTGAATAATTTAAAAATATGAGTAGAGGATGAGCATGTAAATACGTGACATGAAATGAGATGTTGATACTTTGGTGACATGATGTGAGGCTGTCAGGACGTCATTGACCTTACTTGAGTCACAGAAGTCGTGAGAGAGAGTTGTGCTTTGTTGAGCTCCTGGCAGTAGGAGAAACCCTAACTGTGTGCTCCTTCAAGAGGAGGGAATCAAGCAGGCATTTATGTGTGAAGCCTGTTGGAAGACTTAATGTACTCAAGTCAAGAGCAGAAGAGCTGTGAGGCAGTCTTGAAGAGACCTAGTTGGATGTCTTAGAGGACGACATCTGGGAACAGCAGCTGAGTGCCCTCGAGATACAAATTCTGCGATAAGCTAATATGACAGTTGTTACAGTTATCGCCTGTGCTTTATCATGTGCCCAGCAATCATAGCAAGTGTTCATGTATATGGTATATATATTTTATTGAGCTAGTGAGGTCAAATAAGGGAGTAGATATAGGAGAACCCGCTGAAGAGAGGAGTGATACGTCCCACTCGCCGATGGTCAAGTGCTGACTGAGGGAGGGCCCCAGCCTCGTGGTAAGAGATATCGAATGGAGGAGTTATATTTTCCGTGAATAGCTTCGGCTATCACTTATGTCCGGTTGTGATGGTCAAGCGGATTAAGGCGTCCTGTGCATACCAGTTTCATTGCTACGGGCAGTATGGGTTCGAGTCACTTCTGGGGTGAGAGTTTTCAGTTGTATATAGTCCTGGGAACCATTCAGGCTTGTTCGCATTTGTGTTCCTCACGTGTGCCCCAAAGAATGAGGTGATTTGATAAAATGCTATGCCCAAGATTACCATCCGAGTGTTGGCGGGGAAGTGGTTCAAATAGCTTCGGCTATCACTTCCATATGTCCGGTCGTGATGGTCAAGCGGATTAAGGCGTCCTGTACATACCAGTTGCATTGCTCCTGGCGGTATGGGCTCGAATCACTTTTGGGGTGTGAGTTTTCAGTTATATATATATATATATATATTATATGTATTTTTGTATTATATATTATGTTTGATAGCTGGCTTTGCTCTTGTCCTGGTGTGGTTTCCTGGCTAGAGAGAGAGAGAGAGAGAGAGAAAAGACACGGCTGTAACTTGGGTGACAATGGACTATAATCAACTAAGGGGGATTGAGAGATCATTCCAAAGTAAGGAGAGTGTGGGGAGTCACGGCGGCTCAAGAGCGGGTGTGTACACATCACAACTAGGCAGTGTGAGCCGCACCCTGAATAAAGGTGACGCTGAACCCCTCTCTCAGAACCAGACGCTTACCAGGGTGATCTCTCAAATAATTACAAGCACTCCAGTGTCCATTGCTGGTCGACCGACGGTAGCGGGAGTGTGACTGCCGAGGTCCGCTGTTTGTTCTGTCAGGGAGTGGTTGGGACCTCTGGTCGACGGTAAGCTAATATCAGGTTGGTGGTTCTAATAACCAAGTTTCACTGTAGGTATAAAGGAACCTCTCCCAACTCCCATCCACCCCCATGATAGTGTATACAGAGTGAGCTGAGGCTCCAGGCAAGACAATGTGAGCTGAGGCTCCAGGCAAGACAATGTGAGCTGAGGCTCCAGGCAAGACAATGTGAGCTGAGGCTCCAGGCAAGACAATGACAGCTGAGGCTCCAGGCAAGACAATGTAAGCTGAGGCTCCAGGCAAGACAATGACAGCTGAGGCTCCAGGCAAGACAATGTGAGCTGAGGCTCCAGGCAAGACAATGTGTGCTGAGGCTCCAGGCAAGAAAATGTGTGCTGAGGCTCCAGGCAAGACAACGTGAGCTGAGGCTCCAGGCAAGACAATGTGAGCTGAGGCTCCAGGCAAGACAATGTGTGCTGAGGCTCCAGGCAAGAAAATGTGTGCTGAGGCTCCAGGCAAGACAATGTGAGCTGAGGCTCCAGGCAAGACAATGTGAGCTGAGGCTCCAGGCAAGAAAATGTGTGCTGAGGCTCCAGGCAAGACAATGTGAGCTGAGGCTCCAGGCAAGACAATGTGAGCTGAGGCTCCAGGCAAGACAATGTGAGCTGAGGCTCCAGGCAAGGCAATTTGAGCTGAGGCTCCAGGCAAGACAATGTGAGCTGAGGCTCCAGGCAAGACAATGTGAGCTGAGGCTCCAGGCAAGACAATGTGAGCTGAGGCTCCAGGCAAGACAATGTGAGCTGAGGCTCCAGGCAAGACAATGTGAGCTGAGGCTCCAGGCAAGGCAATTTGAGCTGAGGCTCCAGGCAAGACAATGTGAGCTGAGGCTCCAGGCAAGACAATGTGAGCTGAGGCTCCAGGCCAGGCAATTTGAGCTGAGGCTCCAGGCAAGGCAATTTGAGCTGAGGCTCCAGGCAAGACAATGTGAGCTGAGGCTCCAGGCAAGACAATGTGAGCTGAGGCTCCAGACAAGACAATGTGAGCTGAGGCTCCAGGCAAGACAATGTGAGCTGAGTCTTCAAACTGTTGTCGACCACGAAGTTCATCTGATCAGGATATTGAACCTGGTGAGTGTCTGTGAGGTGATATATTCTGAGTTCTATGATTGTGTTTTAATAAAACTCCAGGAGGCAGTCAGCCATATTGGGTTCTCGACTTCTGATTAAGTGACTCTACTCCTTTGTAGAATTGAATCAATGTTAAGTTGGCATATAAAGTAGTATTCAAAATTACAGTGCAAAAATAAATGTAAATATCCAAGTTTTAAAAGCCTGTGAATAATATCTTAAGAACTTAGAGATATTATTTTATATTAATGTTTGAATGTTATTGGAAGTTATCATCTATGTGATAACTGTATCATAAGGGGGCATTTGAATGGTTTTGGATCCAAATATGCAATAAATGAAAACTGGGTCGATTTCAATCAAACTTTTTTGACGTGTTGTATATGAAAAGGGTTTCATCTGGTCCAAGTCTCAGCATCGTAGCATAAATAGGAATGTAGAAAACATATTAAATTATGTGTCAAAAATTTTTCAAAATGGTCAAAAACGATTATCAAACAAAAGTGTCAACTGAAATCATGTCTATGACTCTCAGCTATCACAATAGCATATATTGAAAACAAATTATAAATAGTTTTACTAAACAAAAAATTTAGTTACATTTTTTTTGCCTTTTTTTTTTAATTTTATCTCTCTCCTAGGGAGCCGGTCGGCCGAGCGGACAGCACACTGGACTTGTGATCCTGTGGTCCCGGGTTTGATCCCGGGCGCCGGCGAGAAACAATGGGCAGAGTTTCTTTCATCCTATGTCCCTGTTACCTAGCAGTAAAAAAATAGGTACCTGGGTGTTAGTCAGCTGTCACGGGCTGCTTCCTGGGGGTGGAGGCCTGGTCGAGGACCGGGCAGCGGGGACACAAAAAAGCCCCGAAATCATCTCAAGATAACCTTTGTTTATCGGGCGATTTGCATGAAACTTATACACCTGACTGCACGTAAGCCTATCTGTAAGGGTGCCAATTTTGGAGGAAATTGGTTGATGTTAACTTCAAATCACATATGGCAACATCTTAGACTTTATTTTTTCTTATTTATTTACAAGTAACATAAACGTTTAAATTTCTCTCTCATTTTTTATTCAGTTTACATGAAACTTACACCTTGTATGTAAAGTGTATGTCTCTAAATTCGTATTGAAGTGTTTTTTCCTAAGTTCATTTATTGATTATATAAATAGTAATAAACATGATATATTTGCATAATTTTTGGGGGAACTTTGACTATTTGCATTAGGAAAACTAAAGATGTTTTGGAACATCCCCAACTTGAGATCCTTGATTATATGCTAATGTGTCAGAAAAGTGTCGTAAAATGAATATATTTGAAAGGTGTGGTTGTAATTTTAACCTTGAAAATGTGTAAAATTCGTTGAAAAAAAATAAAAAAATTAAAAATATCCCCTTCTATTTAGGCTGCAGTACTGAAACTTGGAACAATTGCAGCTCTTTTTATATACAACTAGTCAAAAAATATTTGTTGACATTGAACAACTTTTCCCAAACCATTCAAATGTCCCCCGAGACTAGTTCCATTTCTCGTCGAAAAATATATTTTAAATGGATGGTGGCAGCTCTGTGCTCTTCTCTTTCCCTTCTACTAATCCTTTCATTTCATCCCTAATACTATCTTGAAAACCGTTCTTTTCATCTCTAATTCTTTCTCAGCTTTACCTTTTCTCTAAATATCTTAATTACCGCCTCTCTTCCACTCTTTTTCCATCTAATAATTTTTTTTCTATTTATTCCTATCCTTCCCCCCTTCAATTACAGTCTAGTCATCTAACTCTAGAGCATGTGAGTGGGAACACCCGCCGCATAGGTTCGAACCCTCATCATGGCTCCTACGGATTTTCTCGTTGATGCAGTCACGTTAGTGTTATTACTTTCTGTGTAATAAATTAATATTATTTTAAACGAGTCTTGTGGGTCATAGGGCTGGCCTGAGAGATATGCGCTAAGGACCCGGGGCCTCTACCATGTGTCGCTGAGACCACTGGCATCAGGTCTACCCTGGCTGACCAGGACGGGGCGGCTACGGCCTTTGCTCTCATCCGAAGTGCATTAGCAACTCCCACCCACCGCCACAACTCATCGCATGGGGAGGACTACAGGGGCCTCGCAGCTGAGTGGACAGTGCTCTGGGGTCATAGTTCTAAGGGCTCGGGTTCGATACCCGGAAGAGGCAGAAATAAAAGAGTTCCTTTCACCCTGTTGACCCTGTTCACCTAAGAGTAAACAGATACCTGGGAGTTAGACAGCTGCTATGAGGGAGTCTTACACGCACGCATTCTTGGGAATGCGTGTGTGTAAGAGAAATATTTGAAGTAGACATAATAGAGGAACAAATTTGATTAGTAAGGCGGGGTCCAGGAGCTAATAGCTCAGTTCTGCAGATACAAATAGTAAATACTTACTTGTGACACCATGGAAACTGGCAAGTAGTCCACCGACCCACTCACCATAGAGGGAGTAACATCATCAAAGCACTACATGACAAAGAGTACTGGGAAGGGAAGACACCACGAGCATAGCTCTCATCCTGTAACTACACTTAGGTAATTACCTCAGCTAGTCCGCACCACCACTGGCTCTACCCACATTCATTATGTCTCTTGATTTGCTAACGGACATCATTCAGTAATTCTTTTACATTAACATAACAATAATTGATGCTCAAAAGCCTTTTATTTATAATTTTTCCCGGAATGCTGCGAGTGATTATTGGCACTTTAAGAAGAACAAATATTTACTATGCAATTTTTTACTGAGATCCTCAAATATTTTATATCAACAAAATGTTTTTATTATTTGTTATTTATATATACAAGAGTTCTTACATTCTTGTACAGCCACAAGCACGCATAGCGTTTCGGGCAGGTCCTTAATCCTAATTCTCCCCGGTATACGATACGCCAAATCTATTAACATCCGAAACGATTAACAAATCGTTTAGGAACTCATTTTACTGCTCGGTAAACAGAGCTACAGTTAATGACTGATGCCCAGTAAATCCTCCCCGACCAGGATACAAACCAAGGCCAATGCGCTCGCGACATGGCAGGGAAGTGTCTTACCACTTCGCCACAGGGCCGGCAATTATTATTATTAGTTTTGACATGTGTGAACGTAGCATTACACGTAGTTGTTTGTTGATTTGTTTCCAGGTCCTAAGGATCACAGCCACTCCAGCGGTGATATTCCAAGAAACTGTGCCAGTTGCCACTGTAAAGAAAAGGAAGACATATCGTGATCAGTTTGCTACGGTATAGAGTACAGTGAGAGAGAGAGAGAGAGAGAGAGAGAGAGAGAGAGAGAGAGAGAGAGAGAGAGAGAGAGAGAGAGAGAGAGAGAGAGAGAGAGAGAGAGAGAGAGAGAGAGAGAGAGAGAGAGAGAAAGAGAGATGTAAATGTTAATCTAAAATAAGGTTGTCATATCTGAACAGTCAGAATACAGGACACCTCCTGGATTACATCACAATACATCAATAGTGATGTATTGATGTCCAGTTCCCTACTACCGTTATACCTGTTGATTATTACCAGAGACATCTTGACAAGCAACACTAAAATAATCACCAAGTGCTGTCGGGTCGTTTTGGATATAGCCTTGGCTACCAGTGACTTTGGGCTGACAGTCCCCAAGTGGGCATGTGAAGACATAGACGACGTTGTTCTCTTTACAGGCGTTCTCTTTGTAGAAACCGCCATTCCTTTCTGCGACTGTTAAATCTAGAAAGGACAGCTTCCCATCACTCTCCATCTCGTAAATAAAACTTAACACCGAATTTTGGTCGAATGCCTCTTTCATCTCCATACATCCGACATCAGGTACTTGCATAAATATGTCGTCAACGTACCTGCAGTATATGGCAGGTTATGTCCATGTCAACTAAGACCCTCTGCTCTGTGGTACTCATTTAAAAATTCGCAAACAGAACACCAAGGGGAGAACCCATGGCGACACCGTCTACTTGTTTATACATGTGCCTCATGAAGGGTGTCTCTTTAGTGCAAGCTACGAGTAACTTCCTCAATATGCTCTCTGGTATGTCCAGAGGGGTACAACCCGGATCACGATACACTCGTGTCCATCATCATTCTGACTGTTTCTTCCACAGGCACGTTGGCAATAAGAGACTCCACATCCAGAGAGGCTCTCATTCCTGTGGCCCCTGCTCCCAGCAATAAGTCAACAAATTCCTTTGGAGACTTCAGGATAAAGTCTCTCCCTTATGTGCACAAGGCACATAAGGAGTCAGCAGGCAGTTGAGTCATTGGCCAGTTTGTATGTGGGTGTGGGAATCTGGATGATGATTGGTCGAAGTGGGTTTCAGGTTTGTGGGTCTTGACATGCCCATATGCATAACCAGATTTGTATTCTCTGGTAACCTTTGACAGGTGGAGTTCAGATTTCTTGGCATTCACAGTTTCAAACAATCTGTTTACCTTTGCATTCAATTCGACTGTAGTGTCTCTCTTGACCCTTTGGAATTTAGTTTGGTCGGAGAGGATGAGGTTAATTTTTGCCAGATATTAGTCTCTTTTTTATGAATAACAAATATAGGCAAACTTACTTATAATTTATTTATTTATTTATTTTATTTATTTATTTATATACAAGAAGGTACATTGGGTTTGTGAGAATACATAGCATAGTATTTACAATCTTGTAAAGCCACTAGTACGCGCAGCGTTTCGGGCAGGTCCTTAATCTAACAGATAATTTTAAGTAGGTAAATTCTAGCAGAATTAATAAAATGATAACAGATACATTGCAAGAAAAAAAAATGAGATGAGAGAGATTAGTAAGTATATTAAAGCACATTGGTATATTAAAGCTCTGATTGATTACATTGACAGCTTGATTGGTAATTTAAACAAGATTAATAGACACCATACAGCAGATTGACAGCACATATAAGAAGACAGCAATGATCACAATGGTAAAGATGTTCGGATTGGGTACATAAAGATTGGGAGATTGGGTAGCAATAGATACAGTGCAATTTTAAAGCAAAAGGTAAAAAACTATGAAGATGAAATTAGGTACTTTTTAGTTTTGTTTTTGAATGACGCAAAAGTTGGACAGCTTTTCAATTCATTAGGGAGTGAGTTCCATAGACTGGGTCCCTTTATTTGCATAGAGTGTTTACACAGATTAAGTTTGACTCTGGGGATATCAAAGAGATATTTATTTCTGGTGTGGTGATAATGGGTCCTATTACATCTGTCCAGGGAGAGTTTCAGAGCAGGATTTGCATTTAAGAACAGGGTTTTGTAAATGTAGTTGACACAAGAGAATTTGTGGAGTGAGATTATGTTTAGCATGTTTAGGGAGTTAAACAAGGGGGCTGAGTGTTGTCTGAAAGCAGAATTTGTTATTATTCTGATAGCAGATTTTTGCTGGGTGATGATGGACTTGAGGTGGTTTGCAGTGGTTGAACCCCATGCACAGATACCATAATTAAGATAGGGATAGATTAGTGCATAATATAGAGAGATGAGAGCAGAGTTAGGTACATAATATCTGATTTTGGAGAGTATACCAACTGTTTTAGAGACTTTCTTAGTTATGTGTTGTATGTGGGTACTGAAGTTGAGTCTCTTGTCTAGGAATAGGCCAAGAAACTTTCCATCATTTTTATTGCTAATGTTTACATTGTCTATCTGAAGCTGAATTGCATTTGTAGATTTGCTTCCAAATAAGATGTAGTAGGTCTTTTCTATGTTAAGTGTTAGTTTGTTGGTTGACATCCATAAGTGGACTTTTTTTAGTTCATTATTAACAACATTATTTAGTGTATGTGGGTTGGGGTTAGAGTAGATGAGGGTAGTATCATCAGCAAACAAAATAGGTTTCAGAATGTTAGAGACATTAGGCAGATCATTGATGTATATAAGAAATAGGAGAGGTCCCAAGATGCTGCCCTGTGGCACTCCAACGGTTATTGGTAGAGTGGGAGAGGTTATATTATTGATGGCTACACATTGGTGTCTATCACTAAGATAGGATTGGATATAGTCCAGTGCATGGCCTCGGATTCCATAATGATGGAGTTTACGTAAGAGGTAATTGTGATTAACAGTATCAAAGGCCTTTCTCAGGTCAATGAAGAGTCCAATCGGAAACTCATTTTTGTCAAGGGCTGAGTAAATTATATCAAGGAGACTAATAATTGCATCGTTGGTACTCTTTTGGGAGCGGAAGCCAAACTGACAGGGGCTAAGAATGTCGAATTTTACGAGATAGGAGTAGAGCTGTTTGTAGATAATTTTTTCAAATATTTTTGATAGTATGGGTAGGTTTGATATTGGTCTATAATTGTTTATGTCTGCCGGATTACCTCCTTTATGAACTGGCGTTACTCTTGCTTTTTTAAGGATATCAGGGAAGGTATGACACTCAAGGGATTTGTTGAACAGCAGAGCTATAGGTGGCGCAAGGGCATGGGAGGCGCTCTTGTATACAATGGATGGGATTTCACTGATGTTCCCAGCTTTGGTTTTTAGTGAGTGTATGATGGACACAACATCTGTCGGGCTGACTGGTGAAAGGAGAAGAGAGTTTGGATAGCTGCCTGAGAGATATGTGTTGATATGTGTCTGAGTCTGTGGGATTTTACTGGCAAGGTTAGCACCAACCGATGAAAAGAAGCTATTAAATTCATTCGCCATTTCTAAATCAGATGACGGTGTAAGGCCATCCTTAGAGAGTGTTATCTGGTTGTGGGAGTGTTGTTTAGTTCCTAGGATATTAGAGATGGTATTCCATGTGCTTTTCATGTTGCCTTTTGCTTCTTTGAATCTAGTCTCATAATATGAAAGTTTAGCTTTTCTTATGATACTGGTAAGCACTGATGAGTACCTTTTAACTACTTCCTTTGTAACTAGGCCAATCCTAAATTTCTTTTCATATTCATGTTTTTTGTTGATTGATTTGATTATGCCACTTGTGAGCCACGGGTTATTTTTTCTTTTATCAGTTACTTGTTTGGTAAGGAGGGGACAGTGAGTGTTGTAGAGGCTTAGAGTTTTGGAGAGAAAGAGGTTAGTTAATGAGTTTATATCCTGTGTATTATTAAATTCAGATTCCCAGTTAATATTGTGAAGTGCATTAGAGAGATTGCCTAAAGCTGATTCACTGTGTAGCCTGAATGAGAGTTTCTTGCTTTCTGGTGGTGTTGTGTCCATGTTTGCTATGAGGAAGGTAGGATAGTGGTCAGTTGTTCTGTCATAGATTACCCCAGATGTAAGGGGAGCTGTTATATTAGTCCATAAGTGATCCAGGGTAGTGGCAGATGTTTGAGTGACTCGGGTGGGCTTGGTGATTGTGGGGATTAGCATACAGGAGTGCATGCTGTTACGGAAATAGTCAACTTGAGGGTTGTTTTGAAGACCCAGGTCAATATTGAAATCACCTCCCAGAATGATGTGATTTTTGTTGAGATTGTTATTTATGATAAGATTCCTTACGTTGTCTGAGAATGAAGCTATGTTGGTATTAGGAAATCTATAGATGGCACCGATAGTCAGGGAGGATTTAAGGGATTTACTGGAGAACTTGGCAAAGGTATATTCACAATAGTCGTCTCTATCACTAATGACACTATTGCAGATGAAGGTATCTTTGTAATATATTGCTGTGCCACCTCCTTTTTTATTAGGCCTGCAGTTATGAATGGCTTTATAACCAGCTAAATTGTAGAGTTGGGTATAGTCTTTACTTAGCCAAGTTTCTGTTAAAATGATGAATGATAATTTAGTACCTAGTGCTGTGAGTAGTGCATTTATATCATCAAAATGTTTACCAAGTGACCTAACATTTTGGTTGTAAACTGATAAGCAGGTGCTATTTAGGAGTTTGTTTTTTTGCAAGATTTGCTGTGTAATACCTGCAATAATGATGATCAATGTGCTGATTTGTGTGGATATGAGACAGAAGATTTCGATCAGGATCAATATCAGTAAGCATATAGATACAATAATGTCACGATACAATAAGATAAGCAATTACAGGAACAGTTAAATACTAAATCTGCTGTAAATAGAAAGTAATTATAGCAAAACACAACAATAAACGTAGGTACACAAAAAATAGAAACAATTAGAAGTAGAGTAAAGATCCCCGTAGATAGCCAGGAAGGATACAGTAGTTAGGTTAAGAGAGAAGAAAAAATCAGTAGACTGACAAGAATAATATATAGCAAAAAATAAAGAGACAAA